GTGCCGCTGTGGGTCTAACGGAGAACGAGTCTCCTGGCTCTGGGCATGCGCGGCTCAGAATAAACGAGCTCTTGCCAGAGATACACTGTCCTCTGTGATCAACAGGTAGTATAAACGGCAACTTTTTATGGGCCATTTGAGATGTTCTGTGGGTATATGATGATTGGTCAATGTTTTCGTAGTGTTGTGGTGTTTTTGTTTCTCTTGAGGATGTACTTATTTGTGGTGGGCTTGATCTTTTTTTATAACCTCTGCAACGGTTATAACAGCCCGACGTTAATGCTTAGGAACCGTTATAACTGACGGACGTTGGTGTTTACTGTTGTTAGGAGGAGCGTTTTTTTTTAGTTTGGTTATGTTAATTTAGGATTAGATTTTCTTCATTTTTTGCCATGTTATTTTATTTGTGAATTTTGTTTTATTTTATTTCTTTGTGGTAACTCTGGATGTCAATTGAATTGAACTCCTCTGCTCCTGGAGGTCAGGGAAGTGTTTCAGACTTATCAGTCCAAAGTCAAAAGAGAATTATTCTTTGAAAGTTTGTTGGAGGAGAACGGCTTCATTCCTGGTTCTCACTGCTATTTGGCTAAATTAACAACAGACAAGCATATGTGAGGCACAAGGAAGTATGCTGAACTATGCAGATTTTCATAAATAGAGTATTATTTCCTTTTTTTCACAAAAAAAGGAAAAGAACACATATGTGTTTCTGTCAACACATATGTGTAAAAAAGAACAAACAAACTGTTCCTTTTACTGAGACTTCATAGCCCTGGTTATTCACACACACATTCACATGTTGATGGTGAGCTACTAGATAGTAGCCACAGCTGTCCTGGAGCAGTCTGACAAAGGTGAGATTTCCATGCAACAGCGCCCCCTGTTGGGCCCTCTAACCACCACCAGTTAGTGGGTGAAGTGCCCAAGGACACAACAGAGGCAATCTCCTGAGCCATTATCACCACATAACCTCACCATGTTGTTAGTTCTTCATTTAACTGGATGTCATCTTTTAGAAGGACAGCCATTTATAAAGTTGCGTTAGTTAAGGTAAAACAGGAGACTCTTCTATTACTCACTGCTGTCTTCCACAGCCTGGCAGAGCAGCACACACATAGAGTGGACGATACAGGCAGTGGAGGAGCTGTCGACGCCGCCGCTCAGAGGCAGAAGGAAACCACCCTACAACAGAAGTCAGTGGCATTAGGTTTCACTAAAACTAATCACATCAGGAATGTTCCAGTCCTCACCTGGCCACTTCTCCTCAGGTAGTCCCACAGCCAACATGCTGGCCCTAGACTGAACAACCCAGAGATCCTGTCTGTAAAGAGTTCACTCTTTTTATAAATCAAGTAAAAGGCACTTTATACCTGATTTCTTCCTGTGGTGTATGAAACATCCACTGTATTGGCTGGTGTGTGGGGAGGTAGGCATCATTAGAGCTCGATAAAGAAAAATCTACTTTGATCCTATGACAAGGTTTCTGTTGTCCTTCCTACAGCAGAGAACACGACAAAGCGCAGGGTCACTCACCAAGGCAAGCAGGTGTTAACCAATTACAAGCACCATTCAGCTGTAACTCTGGGACTGACGGCAACAGCAAAAGCATGAATGATGTCATTAAAACTGCAGCTGGCTGAAGATGGATTAAAGTAATCCTCCACAAAACCAAGACGGGACTCTGGCTGAGCCACTAGTAAACATCAACATTACTGCTAGTCAGCAGAAACAGTTTGGTAAAGTTAAAAGATGACATTGAAACGAAATCTACCCAGGCTGAGAATGATTTTAGCCTTTATGTTTGTTACTTTGCTTGCATTAGTCGGGATAGTTCAGACTAATACCTGAGGGATGTTTCACAAATGTAGGATTACAAGATCAGACTTGTGTGTGCGTATGGTTGTTTGTCCTGTCTGTCTTTGTGTTGCCCCGCAACAGACTGGCGACCTGTCCAGGTTGTACCCTGCCTGTTGCGCGAAATGTCTTGCTGGAGATAGGCACCAGCTACATTGGGACAAACATAATCCCCCCTCTCTCTTACGGGATCAAAATCATATTATTTTATCTTAAACTGTGCATTTGTTTAATTATATGCCAAAACTAAAGTTAATTTATGTTGTAAATGACATTTTAAGATAAGTTAAAATGATAAAAAAGCAGAAACAGACAAATAAGACAAGAGAATCGCAGCAAAACGTATTGGTTTCTGATTGGTGTGACTGCTGACTGAAGAGATAGACAGTTAACCTAGGAGAAGGCCAACTGCACAGGATAAATCGCCATGGATAACTTTTGTGTGGAACCAAATAGAGGCTCAATTAAGCCAGGATATCTGTAAAATCTGTAAGAGCCCTTTGGTGACTAGGAAGCTCAGCTGCAGTGATTTTGTGGATGCTTTATCTAGTGTTAGTGGGAAATAAGCTGAATGGGTCATGAAGGCTGAACAGTCAGTGATTTATGTACAGCTCTGGAGAACATCCAAATACTGATAATGAGCACACACTGTACATCTTTCTTCACTTGTTCCCACTAAAATGAAGAACAGCAAGTCATTAATATTTGGACAGCTTGATACTAATGTTGTCCTAAAGTTGCTTTTTCAGGCCCCACAACCTGTTAGAAGCTGAAGTAAAAAAAACAAAAAAACACCACAAGACACAAGTTCCAGCTTCCAAAAACTCAGAGCAGATGTTTTCTAACCATGAGTGGCTGGCAGAGTTCTCCTCTGTAACTGCAAACGTCCTCCAGATCCAGAGTGGCTGTAATCACTTCCTGTAGTAAAAGCAAACACTTCCCAGGTTATAGTGGCACACTTTAAAAGTTCAGTAGCACTCAACAGGTCAATCTGGAAACATTGGGACTCTCCACTAAAATAATCACATGCCACATATATACACACAGACACATACACCCAGGGATATCATATATGTGCAGGTTCGTCTTGAACCGTGTTGCCATGCCTACCACATCATCAAGGGAAAACTGTGCTCCACGAGCTACGACCTCTCCATTGATGGCCACCATGGCACAGCCGTCATAGTACAGCCGGTCTCCATCACAGCCCCTCTGATTGGCATACAGGTAGATCCCTCCACTCTGAAACGACACCAACAACTTACAACATGTACAACTGTACAAACAAGCATGTCGCTCTTCTCCACTGTTGTGGTACAACCCTGCCCTCTAGTGTTTCAGTGGTCAAGCAGTGCACAAAGTTTCCTAGAACATAACTCTAATGCAGTGGTTCTTAACCTTTTTTGAGGTACCGAACCCACCAGTTTCATATGCACATTCACTGAACCCTTC